TGGTGGCCCTGCGGCTTTCCATCTTTCCTGTCCACTGTGTGAGCGTGGACATGTGGCTTCTCACTGAGTGGCCCATCACTGCAGTCCTCACGGCCACGCAGGAGGTGGGACTCCCCAGCCCCATGGTGTAGCTGGGGGAGCCGAGGTTGAGAGGAAGGAACTGCCGTGGCCGTGGCCGTGGTGTGGGCTGGCCTCCGAGGCCAAGCTCCTTCTGCAGCACGGCTGCTGCTGCCTCACCCACTGACGTGCTGGACGGGCACTCCTTTGTCCTCTCCTGGTGCTCTGTGCTCCGGGGGGTCGGCAGGGGGTTCTGATCCTGGTATCTCGGGCATCAGGGAGCGAGGAGGATGGGGACCATTCTCTACGGGTGGACAGTACTGGGCTGAGGGGGAAGCCCACGTTGAACACATTGCCTTTCTGTTGCCACTCGGCCAGTGGCAGTGAGCCCCTCAGAGCCACCCGTGGCACTCACCCGGGTCATGGGTTCTGGCCTGGGGAATAGAGGCGTGTGGATGCGCTGTAAACCCCCCAAGAACACAGGGTTTTCTACACGTCCCTTTACCCCAGACTGTCCTGTCCTTCACCTCCTCGCTGTCCTCCAGACCCGTCAGTGACGGAATGGTAGTTTGGGGGCCAGGTGCCAGACCAGGTGTGACACCACTCCATCTGTCAACAGCCATGCCAAGTAGGCACTGACCTCGTTCTGCTGAGGCCAGGCGGGCCACTTCCTGGTGTTTGAGTCACGGAGCTGGGGATTCCTGGGTGAGGGCCATGGGGTGGGACAAGGCCAGCAGGGTTGGCTTCAGAGGGCCCATGGCCTGGGCAATGCCATGTTGTTTTTGGTACAGGCCTGGCACGAGTGGCTTCTGAACATGGTGGGCAGCCCCCCTGTGGGAGAGCCAGTCCCCAGGCACACCTCCTCACTTCACGATGACCCTCCTGTGGCCCATATCCCAGGAGAACCATCTGGGGGGAGAGGGACCTCGACTGATCATGAGAGGCCTCCAAGTCTGAGCACACGGGGGCTTTTCTGTGACTGGGGAGTCCTCCCTTCTGTGTCTCCACAATCACGTGCTCAGCCCTGTCGGCATCCCTGCTTCTGACAATGACGGCGGCCAGGCTCCGTGGGCCCGTGTGCTGGGGAGTTCTCTGGGGTTGGAGGACGTTACAGGCTGTTGTCCGAGAGGATGTCACGTAGGCCGTGGTGCTCACCTGGCTCGGGTCACGGCAGCCATCCTGGCAGGCCTCTCAGCCTCCCTGAGCGCTGCCAGGGGAGCCCCAGCCCGGCCTGCAAGGGTGCTGGAGGCTGAGCTGGTAACGCAGGCCCGGCGCGGAACCCGGCGAGTGCTGGGGCCGAACCACCAGATGTAGATGTAAGACTGCCGCTGCTCTGGAAAAAGTGGTTCTGCCCCTGCGCCAGGGCTTACTGCTGCTGCCCCTCACAGTGCCTGTGTCGGAGCTGAGTGGGTCGTCTGTTGGCAGCTTCGCACGGGGACACTGTGTGGGGTTCTGGGCACTCTGACTGGGAGGCCAGGCTGGAGAGTGACTTCCCCTCTGTGGGCCTCCTTCGCCCCATCTGTCACAGCGGACTAAATGGAATTCACCTCACAGCGAGAGAGGGTGCGTGGAAAGCACTTGTCAAGCTGTCAGGTGCAAAGACAAGGTCAGGAGGAGGAGAACATCAGCGTGGGAGGCAAAACCCCAGTCCCATTTTCTTTGCTGCCAAGGAAGTGGCAGGTGGGCCGCAAATCTACGGGAAGACCTCAAGGTCAAGGAGCAGCTTTCAGACATTAAGGACAACCTGGGCCCAGGCTGGGGCGAGACTCCTGGAGGAGGTTCCCCCACTGCGTGCTGGGCTGGCCCTGTGTTCCCCCGGCGCTGTCTGTGGTGCAGCAGCTGTGGCCAGCCATCCTAGCAATGGCCTGAGGTGCCCAGAGATGTGGTCATCAAGGTCCCGTCACATTCTCCACACACAGCTTGCTCGGGGGAGGTGGAGGGACACCTTGGCTAAGCTTAGCACTTCTTGCTAAGCCACGGGAGTCAGTCAGAGTGCTGTAGGTGGTGCTTGGCTTCGGACCCTGGCTGTGCACTTGCCAGCAGGGTGGCCGTGGCCAAGATAGACGGCACTCGGTGTGCCAAGCCTCAGAATCATCTGGGATGTTTAAAAATACAGATGGCTCCAGAACAGATGTGCTGAGTCAGACCCTTTGGGGTGGGTGGAGAATCTGGGTTGTGAAACTCTTCCTGGTGGCTGTGCAGGTGGCCGAGGCCAGGGACCTGTCTTAGCCGCAGTCTCCCTTCACTGTCTGGTAAGGAGGCTGTGGCATTTGTGTTTTGCTTTGGTTGCTTAGACACACAGGTGACGTGGCTTCCACAAGATGGAAGGCTCCTGCTGGAAGGCAGTGGGGCTCTGGGAGGCCATCCTGAAGCCCCGATTCTGTCCCATGCTGCCCTGCCAGCCCCCAGAGTATTATCCTTCTCTGGGCGAAGCCAGCGGAGAAAGGGCCACTGGAGAGCAAGTGGACAGATACCCACTCCTGTCCCACTGGCCAGAGTTAGTCCTGTGGCCTCCCCTGGCTGCCAGGAGAGCTGTGGGATGTGTAGTTGCTAGCTGGGTGCCAAGTGCCTGCTTCACTGTGGGAGAACAGGTGGTGGGAGACGACCCACAGCCCCACACACCGCTCTTACGGGCTTGCCGAGCTCATCTATGGTGTGGGCTGGCCACAGCAGCAGCGGTGGGGCAGTGGCTCAGGCTGGTTCTGGGACTGGTAAGGAAAGGCAGCTTGTGGTATGGGATCTTAACTTTTTGGGGTTCTAGACCTTTTACCAGATCCTGACCTCTCAGGGTTCCATGCCTGTAGAGACAGAGCCTCTTCCTTCATGGACAGCTGTGGGGCCAGTCTCCTCTGCCTCCCTCCCCCTCCCCGGATGAGGCCTACAAAAAACCTGGCTCCCAGAAGGCCTTGCTGACTTCCCTTCCTTCCCTATTTGAGTATATTTTCGGGAGATGTAAAATAAATGACAAGTTTAAGATCTCTAGTGAAGCAGGCAGGCTCACTGTCCTGGTACATGCCCCTGGAACCCAAGCACTGTGGTATCATGGCCTACCTTAGAGAGGTAGAGAGGCCTACCCTGTCACGATGTACATCTGTCGGGTGGTCACTGAGCTGTGCCAATGGTAGGACCCGTGCCTGCTTTTGCTTATCATTGTATTTCTCCCCTCAGCCCAGAGAAGGTGCTCCGTAAACATCCGTGGGGTGTCCCTCCAGCCTCGATGCATGTGTCTCAGTAGTGGCCTCTTCTCTTTCAGAACACCCAGTGCATTCCAGAAGGCTTGGAGAGCTACTACGCAGAGCAAGACTCCAGTGCCCGGGAGAAATTTTACACAGTTATCAACCACTACAACCTGGCCAAGCAGAGTATCACTCGTTCTGTCTCACCCTGGATGTCCGTTCTGTCAGAAGAGAAGCTGTCCGAGCAGGAGACTGAAGCCGCCGAGAAGTCAGCTCAGTGAGGTGGGCAGGTTCCTCACAATGAGTCACTTGAAGGTAAAAAGGGACTTGGAGGGACGTTTCATTAAATATAATTACCAATAATTTAGAGGTTACTCATTTATGGTGCAACTGCTTCTGTTTGCTGATGCTGCTTTGCAAATAAAACTTGCTGCCGGCCACTCATGGGCATAAAACCAAGTGCATATCAGCGTTGCTTAAAGAGCTCTGACACCACTTTTCACGTTAAGGAGTCTTAATTTAGCTACTTTACTGGGACTTATTGGATGCTATCAAAAAATAAATTTACACTGGATATGCAAGGGGTTTGGATTCAGATAAATAATGCATTTTGTGGAATTTTTTTTACGCCCCCTCCCCTTGCTGTTTGAGATCCTACTCCACAGCTGTATTGAGAGTGACCCCCACTTTGCTAAGAGCAAGCTGTACTTAAGATTTCTTCCAACCTTCAGTCAGGCGGCAACAGAGCCACCACCAAGCCGCATGGTGGTGAGGTGCGCAGAGAAGGAAGGAAATAGGCCTTCTGAGAGCAAACAGACCCTCTTTCCTTCCCTGTGCTCATTCCTAAGTGCGCAGGTGTCCTGTGGCCAGACACACTCGGGTGGCTGTAACCCCCCCACCCCCCCCAACCACCGGAGTTGGCATCTTGGTGCAGAGCGCACCATGTTTTGCTCCAGTGCATGCAGACCGTGTCCCAGCATGTGAGGTGAGGGGCTGGAGGAAGAGCGGCCCCCGGGCCGCAGGACTCTGTCCCCCTGTAGGTAGTCCGTCTGCTCTGTGATGTGTTAAATAGGAACGAAACCCCTTTGGCCTTTTTGTTCTCTTCTGTTATGAATAATATTCACATCAACAGCCCTGTTAGCAAGTTAGTTTTTAAAAACTTATTTGTGTTGGAAAAGTGAAAATGTAATTGCTGGGAAGCCAAGATCAATTTTTATTTTGTGAACTAGAACTCCTTTGATGTATGAAGCAGGCAGGAAAGGCTGGGAGGGGCTCATGTGGCAACTTGCAAATCCAATGATGACATTTCAATTCACAATCTTTGTAAGAAAATTACGTCTCAACCTGAATCTTGACATTAAAGTATATGTTTACAAAATTGCCAGTTAGATAAGCTAAGTGTGTAAGACGATTAAATAGAAAAAAAAAAAAAAAGACATTCGCAGACATTTTCTTCCATGTTATTTGAATGTGTTGTTTCTGGTGGACATGTCAAAAGTTTCACTGTTTTTTAGTAGATCAAAAATAAATGACAACTAGTGCAAGATCTGTTGCAAACAAGCATGGTGGTCATGGCCGACTCCATTACTGCTTCCTGAAATGTGCTTCCCAAACCATATTTTATCATCAAGGGTGTTCTGACCATGACCGTGGCCTCGGAGCCAGGGATGAGTGGGACAAGGCCGCATGCATCCAGAGAGAGCAAGAACCACACTACGCACCTTTCCTGCACAGACACACCAGGAAACACACTAAGGCAACACACCCTTGTACTTTCTAGTAGACATTTTATTGACTGTAAATTCACATGTTAACTTTTGACATTTTCACTCTGTGCCAATAAGGAACACAGGACCCCTCCCTGTGGCTGCGTGACAGACTGTACCACACACAGTTCTGCAGGGAGCAACGCAGAGCTGTCCGCACCCACACCGGGGGGTGGGGGTGGGCATGAACACCAGCTTGTTTCCTGCACAGACGTGGTTCCAGAAGACTTGTGCTTCCCACTGCCAACAGGTGGTCAGTCCTGTTCATGTTTCCTAGAGGGTCAGGTGCATAGGCCAGGTTCCTGCTCCGGCTAAAAGCTCCCAGGGGCGCAGTGGCCCCTTGCTGAATGCCCAGAGTCTATCCCTGCACTTCTTCTGCAGCCAGCAGGCCGGCGTCCACTGAACTACACTCGGACCCGCCGACAGGACATGAAGCAGCTATAGTTGCATTTATTAGGTCAACAGGGCACAGGTGTGTTTTCTATAACATAGTGATTCTGTCACATGGCCCAGGCAGACGAGAAGTCACAGGAAACAAAGAAATGATCATCTGTTGTGAGAAGTTATTAACCAGTGCTTCTCCCGAAGCCACCAGAAGGGCAGGGCTGGAGCCTCCCAGAGCCCGGCCTCTGGTCAGCCCTTCCACATTGGTCTCCAATTTAGGTGCAGGCAGTAACAATCCCCACCCCCCACCAACTCACCCACCTTGCATCAGGATTGCTACACAGGTCACTTTCAGTTTGTGTTCATTATTTTCTTTCTCAGCTACTAAATGGGCTTAAAACCACAGGTCTGGGTGTCCCTTTTGTGAGAGTATACATCTGTCACAGCCCCCTCCCCCCAAATGGCTCTGTGATAAATCGGCTCACAGCCCTGCTCTGATGCCGGAGCCCACAACAGCGCGCCGCCTGCCGGGAACAGCCAGAGTGGACTAGCTGTCATACCAGTCCAGGAAGAGCAAGGAGAAGGAGCACATCACCAGGAAGAAGAGGACCCACACTCGGAAGCCAGCGTTGTTTTTAATGGCCTGGGGGGGGGGGGGGAGGGCATTAGCACAGGAATTTGCATCACACAGGATTTTGGCTTCAAAAGCCCTCAAATGCTCCACCTGTCTGCGGGCACTCGCCCTGCACTGGGCTTTAACAGGGTATTGCTAGAGTCAGTGCTACGGGAATTATTAGACAAAACCACACGGTGGGTTTAGAATCCATCAGAAAACAAACAGGTATTTATTTCCCTTACTGGCTGGCCCTTAGTCATACTTCCTGCATATTTCTCCCAGGAAACACCCAGCAACTGCCCATGTGCATCCTGGGGTTAAAAACACACACGCCGACCTCGAGTACCATAGCTGGCCCAGCTGCGGGCTCCCCACAGTACGTGGCAGTAGTGGCCTCCCATCAACCCAAACCCGGGGACTGCACTCAGAAGACAGAGGACACTCAAGAGTCCGCTGTGGTGGCCCCAATAAACCAAGGCCCTGGCCCTTAGGGTTGGGGCAGGGGGTGTTCACAAGCTTCTCCAGTGGCGCCCATCCACGGATTTAGGGAGCTGGTGCAGCCCTTGCCAAGAGTAACCTCACATGTCTCAGATGGCTCCTTTGGAGGGCAGTGAGTCACATCTCTTGGTAACAGCGGGTGCCCAGGGTTTGGTGGGGACAGAACAGGACTGTCCAGCACAGTCAGGAGGTGAGCCCTGGGGATTGGGCCCCAGCATGGCTCTCCTGCAGCCCTGCCAGCAAGACCACCCCTACTGCCTGGACTCATTGCCACATAGCCACGGCCTGGGGGGCCCGAGAGTACTCACCTCTCTGATGTCTTCATTACCTTCCTTGATATTCTCAGTTGCCCCTACAACTAACTGGTGAATGCTGTCGATCTCGGCCTCCTGTGTAAGGAGAGTAACAGGTGGACCCAACCACTATCTCCTTTCCCCAAGCACACAGATCTCAGAAGCTAGCAGCTGCCCGTTACAAAGGGCCAGGACTTTATAAACATGAGCCCATGAGTCCTTACAGTGCCCTGAGGGGTAGGCCGCATCCTCATTTTGCAAAAGGGAAATAGGGCTCAGAGACTTCACCCCGAAGTTACACAGCAACCACGTGGCAGGACTAGGACTGGAACCCAGTACCTGTGCCGCTGCCACCCCAGGTGTCACCTTCTGTGCCACTTGCTGGACAGGAAGGGACGAGCACAAGAGCTGCCCATTGCATAGTAGCCGCCACAGGCCAGGGCCCTTCCCTCTGGTCTCTCCTGTATTAAGTTCGAGAGGTAAGCTTTTAAATGCGTGTGCTTTAAAACATACCCTAGCTTCAGAAAAGTGCTTTGTGTTTCACCATTTTATGTGTAACCTAAGAAAGTAAAGGGCTAAAATGTATAAACATGACCTCCCATGTACTGAGAGCCTGCCATGAGCCAGGAGTGTGTCCAGTACCTCTTCCACCAGCAATGACGGCAAGGCAGGGGACACCCGCCCCATTCTGTGAAGGGCGGCAGGGCTCAGGGCACCCCAGGTCACAGGACACACGTAGGAAGTCTGGATCAGAGCCATGAGCTCCCCTCCTGTGCCGTGCTGCCTCCAGAAACAAGTCTGCTTGCTCTAACAGACAGCTGACGTGGCTGTTTGAGGTGTCAGGAGGGGGATGTGAAGGCTCAGCACATACCTGCCTAGTTCCTTCAGTGCGCAATTAAAGAGGGACAATTCTTATGAACCTGAACTTCCACACTGTGAGGTTTCATGTACCTGACGTACGATTCAACCCTGGCTGTGAGCCTTAGGACAGGTTTTGTGAGGGGGGTATCTTAAGTCAACTAGCCCAGTTTAACACGATGGAGCAAAATGATTTTGTCTTTGAAACCCTTCCATGGTCTGTGGATTCTAAAAACAAAAGGACAAATTGATCGGTCTCTAAAAGTTTTGCCAGTAGCTGACTGGAAGAATTTTAGATGTGGAGGCAAGTATGAGTAACGTGAAAATCCACTTGTGAGAACAATCCTGTTTCCTGTGTGGACATGACACCCGAGGTGGGACGGACCTGGCTTTCAGAGAGAGGGCCAGCTGAGTCTGGGCTACTATCCTGCAGGCATTGTGTTGGGTGCTCCCTGTGGGTTATCTCTGAGCCTTAAAACAGCCCTGCAAGGGCCACTCCATTTTATAGACAGGCAAACCATAGCTCAGAGGCTACCCTGGTGACCTGAGGGCCTCCAGAACAGAGATCCACCTGACTCCCCGCCTCTGAGCGCTCCACTGCACACCTGGGGTGGCCACGCCATCCGGCTGCAGAGTGCTTGCCAACACAGAGGCAAGAGGCTCTCGCCTGAGGAGCCGTGTGAGTGTGCACTGGCCCAAAGCACACAGCTCTGCATGCACGGGCGCAGAGATAGGCAGCCTCAGAAGTATCTGGACTTCACAGTATATTTTTTTAAGCTAAAACTTTCAACAGTGATTTTTTTCTTTCTTACCTGCTGTAAAACCTTCTCTGTGAATATCTCTTGGAGCCTGGAAATTTCAACCACTCTCCCTTCGATTTGCCTTCATTAAAAAAAAAAAAAAAAAAAAAAAAAGGTTACATACAACCATTAGTACTCGGTAGTCCTAACAAGAACGTTAACATTTCTAAAGGGATCAACTAAGCGAGAAAGCCTCTGGAGGAGAGAGGGACATCATGTCATCCAAGAGAGAGGGAGGAGGCACCACGTCTGGCTCAGGGAAGGAGGAGACAAGCATTTTACTTTCCAGCTCTCCTTCAAAGTCTCTCAGATTACGGGGGTGTACGGCGGTGTAGAAGTCTGCTCTCCCCTGTAAGCTGACCTGAGTGCCCCTGCCTTGGGAGTCAGTGCCCTTGGTGACAAAAGAGAGTCTTCTAGAAGGCCTATACCAGCCTCGTAACCATAGTAACGAGGTGGGGATTCCAAAGAAAACACCAGAATGTGCTGACAACTCAACTTTGTTACTGCTCAGTAGGCTGAGGGAGAGCATAATTGCCATTCTAACCAACTTCCTGTGGAAAGGAAAAACTCCTCTGGCTAGATCCGTCTGCAAAATATATCTATCTGGGTTCAGCAACCAAGTGTCTGAGCTTCTCCCTGTTTCAGGGGCAGCCAGGGGCCCCCAGTGGTGGTCTGGGGGCTGGAGTAGGGCCCTAGAGATGGAGGCTGCAGGGGCTGAGCTCGAGGAGGTCCACAGTGTAAGGGCAGGAGGCTGCCATTTCCCCCAGGGCTTCTAGGCCTGAGGAGGGAAGAGTGAGGCAGTGGGGGCAAGGACTAGGAGGCCTCCAGAAGAGTACAGGTGCTGTCAGAGAGAAGTATCTGCACTCGGAGTCCTTGGGACTGTGTGGGTACAGCGCCAGGATGTGCTTGCTTTTGGGATGAGCCCACAATGCAGCAGTTTCAGTGCCCTGCAAAAGCCTGGGCCTTCTGTGCAGATGCCCCAGACGTTCTCAGGAAACAGGCCCCAAGTCCGTCCCCAATAGGACCAGCTGGTGATGGTTCAAATGGGTGAGCATAGCCACTAGCCTTTGGTGCTGCCAACCTTTTGCTGAGGGAGCAGGCTGACTCCGGCAGAGCCAAGTGCAGGAGGCTGCCCCTGGCTAGTCATTCTTCAAAAGGCCCCCCCCCCCCCATCTCACCTGGGAGTGATGAAGTGCAAGCAGCCCCCACCTGGTGATGCTCAGTACCTGGTGCAATTTGTAGTCACTGGGAGCCTGGCAGCAGTACATAGATGGGGACTACCCACAAGTTAAGGGGAGTCAGTAGGGCTTGCAGCTCCCTTGACCCCCAAATGGCTCCAGGGAGGCATGCATGTGGCCAGGGCCACAAGGGTATATTGGGGCACCAAAGTAAATTAATAAAGTTCTCAGTTTCTGGAAAAGCTATAACATAGGCCATCAAGCCTAGAGAAACCACATACCTACCTTACTTCATCAAACAGGCTGTTCATTTCGCCAATTAGGCGCTGGTTTTCTTGTTCAAACTGTGAGGAAACAAACATGTTCACAAACATAAGGGTGATGGCATACTCAAACCAACACAGCCAAAGGCAAGTGTCTAGGCAAGGCATCTGCACAGAAATCTTTGATCTGCCCTCTGAGAATCACTAGAGTCCCTCCTTCCAGCGTCAGCATGACATCCCCATGGCTGGATTTCTCCCTGTCTGCAAGTCAACATGATGCCTGCGAAGGTGAGCCGAGGAGGTGCAAGGTTACCTGTCATCCCCCCGCCCCCCCTGCTCTCCTCTGGCGCCCACAGGCCTGTGCTGTCTACCACTGGGACCATCTGTTTTAAGTGGAACTGTGAGGTCCAGCAGCTAAGGTGAGAGCAGGGCAGTGTGATTTCAGAGCCATGCTCTAGCCAATGCACTGTGAGAGAAACACAGGCCCAGAAGCCAGAGGAGCCCCATTCCCAGTGCTCAGGCTACGGGACTCCATGTGGGTAAGGATACCACCCTGACACCCGGGAGCTCATCAGAGCCAAGTTGACTGTGGAGCAGACAGCTGCTGTTCCCACCATTCCTGCCAATTTGACTCTGGCCAAAAAAAGGATGGTGTGTCTGAAGCTTTGCCTTGGTATGGGGCCAGAAGATCTCCTCCCCCTCACCTTAAGGACCAAGCACTCAGCCTTCACATGCCCACTCAACTCCCTGAATGCACAATCAGCCTCTGGGCAGGGTCCTCTAGCTCCTCAGCCACATCCCACAGACCTGGTTCAAATATCTTCTCCACAATGTATCCCGGGTCCCCAAGCTTGATGCTGTTTCTCATTTTTCTAACCTTGGCCTAGCGCCTTCTGAACATCACTTAGGCTGTGAGCCATTTTAGGCCTGGTAATAAGCTGTGCATGTCCCAAACTCTCTGGGTGACTATGAGCTGCCCAAGGGTGGGAACCAAGTCAAACTCGACTCTGAAAAGGCACCAACCACACTCTTCCTTTCTCATTTGTTAGAGCTGCAGCCATGGCCACAGATACATTCGAGGCACCGTCTGTGCCAGGTGCTGTGTGAGGAACAAATGGAAGCAAGCTTTGGCTCTCTGGAGGCTTTGCCATTCGACTGAAGCTCTGGCGACCACTTGCTTGGTAAAACAGAGGGAAGAGATAATGTTTATGGAAGTCACAAAGGTCACCGAGGCCGTGCTCAGCATGTCACACGCAGGGACCCTCAGTCTCCCTGCTGCCCTGTCTGGCTCCCACTTCGTGGGGAGTGAAAGAGCTGTGCTCACTCAGCTCTGCACCTGCCCAAGCTTCTCCCTGTGCTTCTCTGTCCTCCCCTTGTGCCTTGCTCACTTCCACTCACTGGAAACACAAGGAGGGTCACTTTCTCTGGGCAGGGCCTCTTAATGGTCCTCCGTTCATGTCCCTCCAGCCCCTCCATGTGGGTGCCCTCTGTCCTGTCCACCAGTTCCCCTGCACCCTTGCTGCACCCATTCCTTCCCTGGCACCTACGCTCTGCCCTCATAATCCTGCAGTCTTCTCCAGTCTGTCCTCCATGCCTCAGTCACAGTATCTAAGATGCCAGTCATGTCACATCGCACCACACCAGCCCTGCCCCATGGCCTGCAGATCAGCACAGAGGGGTGGCCCCTTCCTGTGGCCTGCCACCCTACCTCTGCAGAGGCTGAGAACTGAGGGAGTCCCCCAGCTGGTAACCTCAAAACCTGGCCTATGGACCTTCCTAGTGACCAGACATATCATGCAGATTTAATCACCTCCCATCATCTCCTCTCTTTAAAAAGCTCCTCTGTACTTGGGGTTTGCTACATTTCTTGCTCCTGTTTATGCATCTTCCCTCCTGGGGCGGGGCTTTTTTCTCTGGCCTCCCAGCATAGGGCAGGGCCTGACACACTACAGGGTACCAGTTCCCTGCCCTAATGCTTGTCCAAACACACAGATGCCTCCACTCCACCCCAGATACACTGGGCCAGAAAATGGGCGGGCTGGCACATCTTCCAGAAGGGCAGAAGTGCTGGGGAAGTGCTCTGCAGGGCCGCCTCAATCCCTGGCGGTGGGCTGCCTTGCTGGCTGCTGACAGTACTCTTCTAGAAGGTCCTTCTCATGCATGCAACAGGCTATTTAAGGAAATAAAAACTTCACTTTTAAGTTTGAAACTATCAGCTCTGTTAACTGTCAACAGTTACTTGAGTCCAGTATTTAAGGAGAAATACAATTACATCAGTGTGTAGGTGCTAATTTACTTTCACTAATTCTCCCAGGTACTATTCAGGATTAAAATTTTTTTTTTTGCAGGGGGCATTTTCTTATTTTTGTAATGACAAAATTTGGCCCTGTCCTTTTAAATCCTCAGCTCTTTTATGCTTTTTAAACTGTTCCTAAGCAAGATTAACTAGGGATTTGAGGTGGTTTATTACTGGAATGTCCCCTGGGAACAAAGCTCTCTTTGTTTCCTCCCCAACTCTGGGGCATGTGGCACCTGCCTTTTAGGCCTCTGTGTAACTGCTACTTCTGAAGGACTCCTGAGAGCAGTAGTCAGAAGTGTGATCAGATTCTGGCTCTGATTTCCTTTCAACCCCTGAGTTCTTAGGGCCACCTGAGAAGTACCCAGCCCCTGGAGGAAATGAGAAAAACAAATGCCTTGAGGGATCAAGCAGCAATAGGGTTGAGGAGGGAGGTTTGCCATGGCCAGGACCTTCGTGGAAAGCAGCCTCCATCTGGGGGTGGGAGTTCAACAAAACTTGTTTCCTACAGTCAAGTGTAAGGCAGTTATTTAATGAGACCTGGCAGGACTCAGGGTGATTAGGTAGTGTCCAGGCTGCTGACAACATTCACTTACACCAGATTTCAGGATGGTTTCCGATGCTGTCTTGGTGGCCAAACCTGTCTTGGTGGCCTCACCTCTCATCTGCTGAGTAAGACAGGGAGCAGCAAATGTTGGCGGGCAGGGGCAGGTGATGAACATGCCTGGGACTTCAGTGAGCCAGCCCCTGTGGCCTTGTGGCAACTCCTTGGGTGGCCCTGGACCAGAAACTGGCTTCTGTCTAGCCTGTTATGTGACAGGGCCTGTTTGTGAACAGAGGTGGTAATGCCGTCCTTTCCTGCCTGAAGCCCAGGGGAGGGATGGCTCCTTTACTTTCTAAGCTGTATGCCCTTGGGCAGATGACTGGTCTGTGCTTCTGTCTTCATTATTAAAATGGGATGATAATAATACTTAATTAGCAGTTGTTAAGAGGAAGATATGCTAATACATGTAAGTTGCCTTCAATGTGCATGGGAAACAGGAAGCCCTCTAATTATTATTATTTAGTCTCTCTGGAAGTGAGATTCCAGATATGTAAAATGAATTATGAAATGCTCTGGAGGCCCCTTCCACTTCTCTGTTTTCAAATTTTAGGGGGCTGCTGTGACTTGAGGTCCTTGCTCTCTCTCTCTCAAGAGAAACGCTCACATTCACTGAGGCTCACAGGCAGCTGCTGGCATCTATCCCCACAGGGACGGGGACTTCACATGGTGCAGCAGCCAACGAGGCCTGGTCAGCGCCGTTGGTCAGCACCAAGGACAGGGCCTGAGAAGGCAAATTCGGCTAGTCCAAGATACATATCACCCATATTCACAGAGATGGATGGAAAGGGGGATATGAGGACTGCATGATAGGTAAGGTGGGCAAGCAGGGCCCAAGAGGCATCGCAGCAGCCAGACTGTCTTTGTGGGCCTCCTGCCATGACCCCCTCCACTCCACACTGGTTGCTCTCAGCACAGACCTGATGTCCCCAGCAACCTCCCCCTGACCTCTCAACTACAGTGGCAGACACCACATTTAAAGGTCTAAGACTTGGGAATGCTCCATAAAATGGGGCCTGCAACAGCTCCTACCACATAGGTTGGCATATGTTAATAAATGCTGAAGTGCTCAGAGCAGTACTTGGCATGTGGTGTGTGTTACATGCGTGTTAGGCAATACTACTTACTGCTTTATTCCATTCAGAAGTCAGTTAGACTTCTAAATAGGGGGCCCCAAAAGGGTTTATAATCTGGTTTAAAGGATACAAATCCACACTGTGAGTACATTGTTACAGAAATCCCTTTCTAATCTAATCCTCTTTACTATAGTTTTAAAAAGAAAATCACTCGTACAAAGGCCTTTGAGTATAAAATGAGGCCAAAAGAAGTTATTTGCATTGCCAAGGGGCAAGAGCAGCTAACTGAACTAAAGCCCATGAACCCACAGGGGCTGGAACCCATAGGGGCTCAGCCAAAAAAGCAGGCCCAGGACCTCTCTGGGCATTTCCAGATGTGATTTATCTGTGTCAAACAAGCTTTATGCTCATGGCTCTGTGACCCTCATCTCCGTTCCTACCTCTAACTCTGTGAACCTGGAAACTTCAGCTCTCACCTGTGTGGTGCCCAGATTCTACCAATTCTTACCGTGAGCTTGGCCACAGATCACAAGCCCTGCCATCCAGCCACCTGTAGCTTCCAGGGGGCTACCACAAGAGACATTGGCTAGGGACACCCTTCATACACATTTAAGAACAGAAGTCATGTGCACTCAGGACAGGACAATTAAGGAATACATCAATACATGCAGGTGGTTTCACTTGAGGCAAGTAAAATGAATACAGGCTTAGAAATAGAGGTACTTTCTCCATGTAACATCAGAAAACAATTTTGTTTCACTCAGCCTGACCACAAAACATCTGCTTATATTAACTCCAACGTTAATATACCTGCATCATGGGTTATAAATGGAAATTTACTGTGCAAATCATATAACACTCTGCAACCATTTTGGAACATGTAACAACTGCTCCTATGGGCGAAATAATGAATTAAATTGATATTAAAGGGCTTAATTCATGATTTTACCCCGAGGAAAAATTCCAAAACAGTGATTATGAATTATGACCACAATTTGCTACAACACTTTCCAATTTAAAACCAATAGTGCTATACTTCTTTCATGTTCAGGGTTGAGCCTGTTAAGTAAGATTTAGGCTAGCCAGACTGTAAGATATGGAACTTAGCTATCATTCCCAATTAAGAGAGAGGTTACCTGAACATTACATAGGTGGCCATCAAAGTTCTGAACATCACATTCTGCCCAATCCACTTGCAGGAACAGGATACAAATCAGGGAGGTCTTGCTGGTTTTGATTATTTTAGTCCCTGACACTGGGACACTGAAATAACTAGCATTACTGGGAATGGTCAGTAGCATATTTTTCGACAGTGACTCAGGACAGGACAATGAAGTGGAAGCATGTCATTATGCACTAAAAAGCCTAATGATGTGAACCTCATGTTCTAGAGAGGTACATTGAGTGCAGATGTGCACGGTGACAGCAACAGCTCTTCGCATGGGTGCCAACACTGGCTGAGCAGCTACCATGTGCCCTGCACATGCATTGTGTTCCCAACAATTCCATAGGGTGGTGATTCCTGCCAATACTCAAGTTCAGTGAGGCTAATTTTCTTGCCCCAAATTACAGATAGTAAGTGGTGTAAAGAAAATCTGTAACTGACTCTGTCAAGTCCCCAGGCCCACACTCTGCCATCATCTCTCACTGGGACATAGCATCAGTTGATTACAGACATCCTTGCTGCCAACCTTCCTCTGGGCCTCTCCACTATGTGTCCAAAGGCTTCTACAGGTCATGCATCAGCAAGGGTTAACAAACTTCTGTGCTCACCACTACCTACAGGAGGAAGACAAACTTCTCTGGCAAACAACTGACTCTTATTCTAGCTACTTCATTTATGAAGTGTACGAAAGAAAAAGAAAAGCCTTAACCAGAAGGTAAATTGTGCATACATGTGAATTATCTAAGAGACAGCTACACATATTTTTTTCTTTAACAAAATGCAGTCCTGTTCCATTATTTGAGGGAACATGAAATCACTGTTCTAATAAAATTCTGTACAAATTGAAGAAAAACATGAGATTTTAAGAAACTCATCATCTGGCTCTAAGAAAAGCCTGATGATGTGAACCTCATGTTCCTCATGTTGCCATCACGAACTATCATTTGGCTCTAAGAAGGGAGCGTGACCTAACTGTCCTTCACTTTCACTGGTGGCTCCTCTGCCTCGGCCTGCCTCCCTGTGGAGCCTCTCCAGGGCGAGGTCCCTGGCTGCACCCCTCTCTCCTCAGTATGTACTGCATCGGCAGTGGAACGTCTCCCACATTCATGTCTCTAGCCTGAGCCTCAAATCCTACCGCCCACCAGACACTTCCCAGGGATGTCCCAGAGGTGCCTCACACTTGTCTCAAATGAAATTGAGCATCCCCTGCTCTGCCCAGCCCGCTCTCCCTCTGATTGCCAGCACTGTCTTCCCAAGTCACAAAGCTCCAGGATCCTCCTTCAAGCCCAGCCCCAGCCCATCCACTTCCCCACACCTCTCTCATCTTTGCCTCCACAGCCACACCCTGATCAAACCCTCATCACCTCCTGACTGGAATCCACACTGCAGTCTTTTCCTAGGCACCCTACACATTTGAGGCTTCCGGCTGCCGTGTCTGCTGGGCCTGAGGAGCAATGAGCTACTCAAAGTCAGAGAGTGCATTTTGGAACCAGGGAGAACCTGGAGGCAGGCAGGGACCTGGCAAACCACTTGAAATTGTTTGACTTAGTCACTTAACCTCAGAATTATTTTTGCCTGTAAAGAAGAAAGATAGCTCTGCTTACTCTTCCAAAGAGACTACCACAGGCTCCGAGGAAACACCCAAAGCAAGTCCTAGGAGAGTCATGGCTAACGGTACTATCTCTGCAATCAGTTTTGTGCTTCTAAGGTGATGATTTTCCAGAGGAAATCACTCGTCCGGGGGGGGGGGGGTAAATGCTTGTGAAACCATGTTGTTTATGAAAGATGCATGAAACTCCTTGAGCTCCAGCTGCCGCCTGCATGGCCCCTGATGCTGCTGAGTGTGGCACACACACCGGCGTCCTCTCTGCACACACATGTGGCTGTGACCTGGGAGCCTGAGCGCTGCCTAGTCTCTTCTACCCTGTGCAGTGGACCGCTGTCCTGCCTCTCTGCACTACCTGCCACTTTGAAGAGGAAAGGCTGAGGGAACTTGTGAGCTCTTGTTGTGTGCCTGGCACCATGATGCGTGACCCTCCTGGTCAGCTCACTCAGTCATTAGCCCCACCAGGGAGTGGCCACAGGTGGGTCAGTCCTTTATTCAGGCTTAGAGAAGAAATAGGAAGTCTGGAGAGCAAGAAGATTCTGAGTCAGTGCTCTGCCCCTGGCAGCCAATGTTCAAGAGAGCAGAAGCATGCATCTGGCCACCCTCGGGGCCCAGCCTGCAGACTTGCCCGTGTAACAATGCTCAGGGGGGTCCTGGGAGGATGCCTCCTCTCCCAGGCTGCTTGTGTTAATTTGCCACACAGGCTACACTCCCTTAGACCACAGATCCCACCAGGGATACCTGTGAACTGTGATACAGGAAGGAGTGCAGGGTTTGGAGCCAGGGTGCAAGGCATTGGACACAGCTTGGCTGCTCTACTGGCCCTGTGACCTTGGACAGCTTTAGAGGCTTTGTGCCTTATTTTTTCAAATATACAAAGGTATAGTCCTCCTTCACTGGACTGTTACAAAAATTATATAAGACAACATATGTAAAAGGTTTGGAATATAGGGAGTGCTCGTGAGTATACATAATAACAATAATTAACTTAAAGTTAGAATGTTCTAGTAGTGCTTACTGATGATCCTGTCCACAGTTTCTATACTACACTCATCAAAGGCACTCATCCATCTAAACACCATTCTAGGCTCCAGGAATATGGTAATAAAAGCAGACAAGTTCCTGCTCTCGTCACACTTGCATTCTAGTGGAGGGATGAAGGAATAAAGTGGGGTGTAGGGACAGAGTGGCTGGGGGCCACTGCAGGTTGGGTGGTCGGGAAGGACTCTCTGAGGACATAACATTTGAGACCTGCAAGGTATGAGAAGAAGAGTTAAGAGAAAGAACCTCGGGATCCCTGGGTGGCGCAGCGGTTTAGCGCCTGCCTTTGGCCCAGGGCGCGATCCTGGAGACCCGGGATCAAATCCCACATCGGGCTCCCGGTGCATGGAGCCTGCTTCTCCCTCTGCCTATGTCTCTGCCTCTCTCTCTCTCTCTCTCTCTCTCTCTGTGACTATCATAAATAAATAAAAAAATTTTAAAAAAAAGGAATAAAAAAAAAAAGAGAGAGAGAAAGAACCTCGTCCAAGAGGCTCAAGGCTGGGATGAGACTGAATCCCTTTCTTATTTGACAGAGCTCTGGCTCAAAACTCCCTACTTCTAGAAGAGGAGACTTAGGTGAGAAATCTGTGAACTGATGATTAATAAGCTCTATCACTTATTAACTTGAGGACCATGGGCCAGACACCTTACTGCTTTTTGCCAAAGTTAAAAGGAGATGGTGATGCCCCACCACCTCTGAGAGTGACCATCCAGAGTATCACAGAGAATATGAGTACCAGCAAAGTTCTGTCCACTAACTGCTGCACAAATTAAGGTGCTGTCATCTATCAGAGCCACTGAAAGTATATGCCACGTGGGAGCAGTTTCCCAGCTCCTTAGGCAGAGGACAGTGTCGCACCAGGGCAGTGCTAGGAGGCACCTGCTCCCCACCACAGGAAGACATATTCCATTTGGCTTGGTCACACCAACCTCCGAAAGAACTGTACACAGACACTGCTGTAAACGAGTTGGCAGGGGCTCTTGCCAGACCTATCAGTTTCCTTTTGAAACTCACCCAGGGAGGACAGCCTACAACTGGCAACTCAACCTTAGCAGTTAACGTGTTACTCTTCATTTTTCAGTCTTTACTTATGCTTTCTCCACATTAGCATAACACCAGCAATTCAAACAATTAAAAAGCACCACAGTAGTAATTATAAAAGCCCCATTTAGTCTGGAGGACTATTTTGCTGCAGCTGAAAAGAATCTAATATTAGTAAAATTATTCCAAGGCAATTTCTTCTTTAATTATGCTACTGCAAATTTAAAACTTATGAAAAGCATATTAAGAATTAGGAAATCAAGTGGAAAAGTTGTATCTAAAATATTATTTTGAGAACTCAGTATAATAATCAGGGCAAGGGAATTTAGGATGACCTCCTAACTAACACCAGTTAGCAACACCCGACTGGGCAGAGAACAGCCTTACCATTTGTATTTCTTCTGGGGATAATTCATCATCACCTTTGCCATCTCCCCAGGTACCTAATTCAGGTTGTGATTCTGCCGGAATCTTTTCTGTTAAAAAAAAAAAAAAAAAAGAAGAAGAAGAAGAAGAAAAGCAGAAGGCAAAAGAATTCATTTTAGAAGAGGATGGCTTCGGATGCAGGCATGTTACGAACATGAGACAGTGATAGTTTTGTCCACATCCGGTTAACTCAGGCACGCCTCCACAGTTCGCCTACCATGCTTAGATGTGTGCATGTGTGTGCATACGTATATGTGTGTGTGCAGGGGAAGAAGGCGCCTCACGCACAGCATTTCAGTGCTATGGTGATCTCAGCAATGGTTGCAAACCAAACCAAAGGGACAGTCTTCAGAACCAGTCTTCAAGTGTATTTTACTTCAAAACACAACCCACACACTCATGCACTCCCTCTACTTTTTAAATACTGCCAAATAGATCAGTATTTTTGTTTTAAAAAAAAATGCAGGAAGTGACATGCCACTCCCTAATCCTATTCCTGTCTCAGAAGTAACCACTGCCAGTACTTTGATGTAGCCTCACAGACCTGACACAGCCTATACACATACATGCAGATATCGAACTCCCTGCCTTCCCTACTTCCATCTAGAAATACGTAGTTTTGTGTGTAGTGCTTTCTTTTTAGCACACTATTCTAAAACTTCCCATATCTCAGAGATTATCTTTATATCAGTCACAAAGATCTGTATCATTCTCTTAAATTGATGCATAATATTCCATTGTAGGGAATGTTCCTTGTGTAGCTGTACCCCAACTGATAAACCTTTGGTTATCTGGATTTCTCACAGGTATACTGGTACCATGGGCCAGTCCATCCTTAGAGCACTCTTCGGTGTGCTCCAGGATGGATATCTGAGCACAAACTGCTAACTAGAGGTGTATGAGCCTTCTACAGAACTTTTGGACCGCAACCACACAAACAGGTGATGGTCACTTGATGAAGTAAACCAACAGCTCAGGCTCGTAGAAAGGGCTGTGCCACCCAGAAGGACCATGTTAGACAGGCCTGCCTGGCTCAAAGGGAGTGTGTGTAGGGAACAGGGGAGTGGATGGAAAGGATCTGTCCCTGGTGGACACTGTAACGGGGTTTTTAAAGGTGACTTAGGTTCTGGTGTCTCAGCGGGGCTCTAGGCTTGTCAGTAGGTTGCTAAATACTGCTGCTTTTTCTTCCTCACCCTCAGTAAATTTCCCATAGCTGATCTCAGCCCCACAAAATAGGCAAAAGTCCAGAGTTTTTGTTTTGAGACTGATCAGGGAAAAGAACATATCATAGCACCAATTTAGAGAAAACAGTTTAGGCAGACCCTGTACACAAGGTACTATTATTTCAGATGCATCATCGCAAAAAAACCTCCATGTCGTCCAGAACATTGTGGAAGTTTAAAATAAATGGCTATTTTTGCTAGAATATTTGTAAAAGACTTATATATATATGATTTATACATAATATACACATAAATATAATAAACATATAAATATTAATATATAATATACATATACATATAATAAACATATTTATTATAAATATTAATAATATAATATACATATAATAAACATATTTATTATAATAAATATAATAAACATATATAATTTATATATAAAAGAGAGGGAGAAAGCACCTTTAGAAACTGGTAAGGTGTTTTTCTGAGAGGACATCTTCGGGTAGGAACCTCTGCACTTTTACCTCACCACACGTCCACCCCTAGAGCCCTCTGTTTCCTACTTAACCTCATCATGGTCTCCATGTCAAGCTTTTACTTTGACGTTAAGGATAAGAATGTCAAAATTAAAAACACAGAAACACCATTAACATCAGCACCAAGAATAAATGCTCTAAGCTGGAATGTAAAATTTGCTAAGAGGATGCGTGCTCTACAACCTGCCCCCCCTTGGTCACTGCCGGGTGCCACTCTGATCTGCTACCCAAGAATCAGCCTGAAGCACAGCATTCTTCAAACTATCCTCTGCACAGACCTCCAGGGACCCCGGCGCCAGGAACCATGTGCAGGCTCCTTGGTGGCTTAACAGGCCCTCTGCGTGGCCGGGCCCCACCCACCTTGCCAGCCTGAGTCCCTGCACTCCTCCTCTTTCCATGTGCCGTACTGAATATGTCCCATACCACTCCATGCTTTCTGGCCTCTGTGCTCATGCTCTTCCTCTATATCTAAAAAAGTTTCCATTTTAGGTCTGGACTCATTTCTCAGGGCATTTCCTCCTGAAGTCCCCTCTGAGTGAATTCTGTTCTTCCCACCTGTGCTCTCTCCTAGGGCACTACTCACTTTCTCAGGGGCTGGAATCTTGTCCTTCCCATCAATTGTGAGCTCCCTGAGGGCAGGAACCATGGCTCATTCAAAAAGTGTAGAAGTATTCACAAATAACCATATCCATCTTAATGCTAGGGAAAACCAGGGTAACAATTATAGACAGGTACATGAAGGGGGGCATCTGGGTGGCTCAGTTGGTTGAGCGCATGACTCTTGATTTCAGCTCAGGTCATGATCTCAAGGTCTTGAGATCAAGCCCTGTGCTGGGCTCTGTGCTCAGCAGGGAGTCTGCTTCAGATTCTCTCTCCCTCTGCTCTTCCCCTACTCCCTGCTAGTTCGCTCCCTCAAACATACATATGTACCTAAAATCTTTAAAAACAACAGGTCCATGCAGACCTCTCGTGCTGGCCCAGTAAGAATATGGAAGAAGGCCAAAACATACGATGAAGACAAGGGCTGCATGACCACAGATCTGCTTGATACTGCTAAATGAAAAGTAACCAAACCAATGGCTTTAAAAAACAACAACAACAAAAACCAGGAGTGTGGCAACCAAGAAACCATCCTCTACCTAGAACTATGCCACTTAGTCCTATTCTGAAGTGTTTTTTTGTCTAAGTTACAGCTCGTGTTTCAACAGAGAAATGAAAAACTGAATAGTTAGGCCAAAGGATTCCACATAGCCCAGGCTGACAAAGTCCTTCTGCTCATTGTAGACATTCTAATTTATTAGCGCAATGTCCAGGAGCAGATGTGCAACCCCTCACAGGGAGCAGCTGGGGCTGGGGGAACACTGACCCGCTAGCATGGAGGCCGGTCGGGACAGATGAAATGTCAAAGGCCCCCAGAAAACAGGGCAGCAGCACAGAGGTGGGCGGCTGCCTCTGCCCTCCCACACTCGCTCACCTGCAGGCAGGCCTGGGGCTCCGCAGGGCCTCTCCCCACAGCTCCCAAGTGTCTCCAGTCCTGAGGCCCTCCCTGAGCTCTCTGCTCACTGCTACAACCAGCTCAGTTTCCAGCTGAAAATCCTCCAGGTGTCTTGGACCTAGCCTGCATAGACAAGAATTCTGGTGTTACCCCCATCCCCTCTCCCAGCTTTGCTGCCAGATTCCTCTTCCTCCTGCCTTCTCCTCACAGTCCAATGGGCCACTCACGCCCAAGCCTTGGTGCTCTGTCCCTCTGTCCCTCACATCTCCTATCCCACCTATGAGTTCATCTGCAGCTCCAAACTACTATGGCTGGAGATGGGGCGCTTCTCTGGACCACCATCTCCATCTCCACCACTGCCCTGACATGTAACGCTGGCACTTGGCATCCGGACTATGGTAGATCCTATCCTACGACCTTGATAAACTCATTTACTGAGATTTTTTAAATTTTGGATTCCTTAAAATGTTCTGTATACAACACCAGGTAGTTTATGCATAGAGAAAACTTCCTTTCTAAGCTAGATTTTAACTTCTTTTGCTAGCTATGCCAACCTACTGACTTCCAATACTACATTTGAAGGAGGATACTGCCCAGTTCTTGGTATCAAGCAATGGATCTCTCCACAGCCAGCTCTACAAACTATAGCATAAGACGGGATTTGTGGAATACCTCCTGCCCATGCCACATGCCAGATGCTGCTAGCTTCATATGCCCCCTCACGTGATGTTCACGATAAACCACGGCCATGTGATACCACAAGAAAGCACAGACTCAGAGTCTCAGGACAGAGGCCAGACTGTGAAACCAGGTTAGGCTGACCGAGTCCCTTCCATGACTCCGGGCTGCAGCCATATTTCTTCTATTCCCTTATAGACCCACAAGCAGGAAACAGATAAAGGTGAGACATGGCAATGGTAATTGCTTTCTTTGGGGTAAAAAACAACAAAATGAAGTATTTAACAATTTGTTACATATGCAGGAATTTGTACGTAGAGTAAGTCGTGTACATTTTTAGTAAGTGCTGATTCAGATTTTACTAGTCTTTGGGATTCCTGTAACTAAGGAAGAGAGGGCTACATAACAAGCGTCACCAAATGACCTTGAAAGGCAAGGGTGGTTTGTGGAGTTGAGGGGGACAGGGAGGCCGAGCCAGAAGAAGCAGGCAGGTGCCAGGGTGCAGGGGAAAAGACAGGAGAGGACAGGCCACAAGGCATCTCAGAGACATCTGAGGACCAAGACAGACCAAGGTGGGGCAGTGTCTCAAGATGCAAGGAGAGCAGGAAGTAAAGGCAACACTCATGACAACCCACACCCTCTGCCCCATACCCCTGGAAGGTAGGTCTCATCACCCTCATTTTAAAAATGAGGGAACTGGTGCTCACAGGTGCCAGGTGGTGCTAGAGTTGGGATCATGATGGCCTCAAAAGAGATTCTCTTCATACCGTCCTGTCTCCTACACAGGAATTAGGAGCTGAACTGGAGAGTTCGCTTTCAATATCTGGTGGGCTGGCTTCGTCAGGAGATAACCTCATGATTATAAAACAGCAAACACTGACTTTAAAATAAAAAATTTAAACTGTGAGGAAAAGGGTTCTTTCACTCTGGTGGCATATTTCCTATTGACACAGAGGCATTAGGTTCCTTTTATATCAGGAAACACTTCCACGGCAAGTGAAGGCAATGTTCCAGGTCACCTCCCTGCCTCCCTCCTCTCCTCCTTCCTTTCACTGTTTTCAGTGATTTACTGAGCACCTCCTATGTGTCAAGCATTGTCTGGGTGTCAGTGTTACAGTAGTGAACAAAACACAGAAATTCCTGTCCTCACGGGACCTCCATTTTAGTAGGGGAGACAGATTACAAAGGACAGACCCGAGTAAAACAAACAGAAGGATAGTGGCACATGCCAGGAAGAAGGAAAAAGCAGGGAAGACAGAAAGTAACTGGGAGCCTCAGGCCTTCATCCTCCCTTTATTCACCCTCATTCCTCACTCGGGGAAAGGGGAAGGGGGGAGGGACCCCAGCCTGTCTCAGGGGATCGATGCTGCCTACAGACCTGCCCCCTGACCTCCAGACTTGTAAACCCCATTCCCTGCTCAACATCTCTACGAGGCACCTCAAAATTAATATGCCTGGCACTGGGTCCCTGGTCAAACCAATCTCCTGCACCACAGTGAAGGACAGCAAACTTCTCCCTTGTCAAAAACACCACAGCCTTCCCTGGCCCTTCCCTCCTGCCTGTCCCGCATTCAGGAAGCAAATGCTGTGGCTCTACTTTAAAATGTAACCAGAATTCCAGCACTCTCCCTCCACTGCCCTGCTACCAGGCATGTCATGCTCCACCATTTTCTTGTTTCTGGGTGACTTGAGCAGCCTCTTGTCTCTACTTCTCTTCTCCAAGAGAGCAACCAAAGGGGCTCTGCTCAAACACAGCTGGCTGTGAAGTGCTCTGTGCAACCCCCCCCCCCCATGGCTTCCCACGTCCTTCAGAATAAAAGCCACAGTCCTCAAGCATCCTGGTACCTTGGTGTTTCCTTACTTGGTATCCCTCTGCCCTCTCCCCTTGCTCTCTAGCCTCCAGGCTGCTCATCCACCAGGCCAGGCAGGCTCTCTTCTTGGGGCTTCTGCACTTCTGATTTCCTCTGCCTCTGACTCTTCCCCCAGAGAGACATAGGGTTCACTCCTCACTGCCCTTGGGTCTCTACTGAAACACCAAGCTCTCCGACCTCTCTGACAGGCCAAATCTCTCCTACAACCAGGACCCTCTATTGTATGGCACATACAATGATTGTATACATCTGTGTGATTATTCTATTAGCATCTGCTGGACTATGAGCAGAGGGGTCTTATTTTCTACTCCCTACTGTCGCTAGCACCTAGCACAATGCCTAGCACAGCAACACTCAGTATGGGCTCAGGGCTCAGCAAGGGGAGAGTTCTTCACAGGGAATCTACCCTCAGCTGGGCCTTGAAAAATCTGTACTGGCTTCTCTCCATTCTCATCAGCCCTAACAGTATTTCTGGAATGAGTGAGTGGACGAATATGCTGTGTCTGCCATGAGTAAATTTGGGAGTAAATGAGGGAGATAGGATAGCCCTATGTGTTATCTTATGCAAAGCTGGGCTCCCTTAGGTCATGAGTGATGTCTGTGCCAGTCCTCTGGCCCATGGGGTCAAAGTAGCCAGCAGAAAGGATAGGCTCAGGCCCCAAAAAAGTACCCTAGGTACTGCCCCTTTCTTGGTTTTGATTTTGAACAGGTTATATAATCTCTTCCAAGCTCAATTTCCTCACATGTAAAATGACGATAGCACCACCTCAAAAGACCCAATGAGACCCAATCTGCTGCTGAAGCCCCTGCATGAGCCCAGCACACTGCAGGGCTTGCTCGAGCCTGGTCTCCCCACTGACACTGTTCCCAACCGTGGAGAGGGCCCCTGGCATCTTTCAGGTGCTCATTCCTACACTGTGTTCTGAATCAGATGGAGAGGCAGTACAGATCTGCATATAAATCCGAGTCTGAAATTCATGAGTTTTTAAGTTTCCCAGCCTCTCAAAGCCTTTCAGAAGGCTCATCAAAAACAGGACCACAATACCCATCCCAAAGGGCTGCTCTAAGGATGGTGGTGGTGGTGTCTGTAAAGATTCAAGGCAGTGCCTGGCATCTGGGAGATGCACAGTAAATGACAGCCATTGTGGTAACATGGACAAAGGGGACTGAGGAAGACACCAGCCCCTGAGGCCTCAGCATACTGTCATCCTGGGATGTACGCAAAGCAAAATCCTGTGCCTGTTACACCTGAGACACAGCAAAGTAGGCATGTGCAGGCCACACAGGGTGGAACACAGGTTGGTGCTAACAGGATGCTGAGATCACGGGATAGGGCACCACGTGGGGGCTGGGGAGGCAGTGCCCTACCTTTCCTGAGACCAGCAGGCAAGATTCCCTGAGCACAAAGCTCTTACACTGCTCCTGGTTCTGAGTCCCCAGCCCCCACCCTAGTGGTACACAGCAACTCAGGCCCTCTCCCTGGACTCTGCTGTTCTTGGGTGACTGGAGGAATCCTCTTGCTCTGTCCCAACAGTTATTAGCTCCAACTGGGGTAGAAAAAAGGTTTCCCCTTCTGTGTTTCCTTTGCTTTATGAAAGTGCAAACATAAGATGTCTAGGACTGTGTTCCTTTTTCTGCTTTGTATTTTTGCCAATACGTCATAAGCAAGAGATGGAAGGCAAGATTTTTATTTCAGTTCATACCTGGACATTCTTCAGTGACAGGTTTTTCTTCAGACTCTTGTGAAGGGTTCTGTGAAACTTTCTCAGAAGACGTGGATTCTCTTGTCTTTGTATGTGGTTCTGGTTCCAACTTAGATCTAGACAAATAATTAGCAATCATATACTTTGCTGACACAAGATTCTTTTCTGACAACAGAGGGAGTCACATGTGACCCCTGCACATGTGTCCTGTGCCCTCTGCCAAAGAGCAGAGTTGCTAACCAGCAGCCATCCCAACACACCTCCAGTGGGGCACTTATTAGAAGGAACCAGTGTCACCACCTGCAGGGAGTAGGGGAAGGGAGGAGAATGCAGCCAGTAGGTGCTGAAGGAAAGAATGCACACACCTGCCCCACATACTGATGCCGCACTTAACAGGTGTGAGACGAAGGCTGACTGTTGAACAAGTCCAGGAAGCTGGTTGTTTCACACCAGTGCAAAGTGTTGCTAAATACACACACACACACACACACACATATTATGTAGTATATATAAGTAATATCTTAAATAAGTTAACTACGAAAGTACAAGTCTTTAAATAGCCACCAGATGGAAGCAACTTGTCTCAGGAACCAAGGCCTCTGCCCTTGGCATCTGCCTCAGGGGTCCTCCTTTGGCTATACTAGTTTCTACTTTCAGGTCTACGCTCAATCTCACCTATTCAAAGAGGCCTACCCTGACTTTCCGATCTCAAACAGGCTCCCCTACATCACACTGTGCCGTAGCCCTTATCTTCTTCATAGCTATGAAGAGTCACCAGAGTCTCAGATGACTTGCTAGTTCACTTGTTTATTGCCTGCCTTGCTCTACTGGAGGGCACACTTGCAGAGCAGGGTCCTGGGCTATGGGCCATGGTCACTGCACAGCCCTGGGTCCTAGATGAGTGTCTGGCATTCAGTGTTTAATAAATACAGGTTGAATGAATGGATACCTTGTAACGGTCAGTAACTAGTAAGAGAAAGAACTTGTTGATAATGAAACAATAAACTTTATAATAATAGCTTTCCTGGAATCCATATAGCACTACAAAAATTATGGGCAGACTGCGAAAATGATCTATGATGCATTCCATATTACTAGTCAGGAAGCCTATAAATGAAAAAGAATAATGTAAATACTTATTAGGATGACCCTGTTGATGCCAACTAACATTTACTGTGGGCGTATCATGTATTGGGCATTTTTCTAAGCACACTATATGGATAAACTTATTTAATGCCATACATCCCTATAAAGTAGGTAATGGTATTAAAGACCTTCTTATAGAGGAGGAAACGGAGCTATATGGAAATTAGTATCCTGGGAGGAAACTCCCCCCAGGTTACACAGTCAGTACCTGGCTGGGCTGGCCGTGACTTAGGGAACCTACCTCAGAGGCATGCCCTTAACGGCTGCTCCATGGAAAGTAGATTCTACCCATCGTGTTCCATGAAAAGGGGCTTCTGGTCAAATGACTCTGAGAAAAGTGGAGTCCAAGCTAGGATGGGTATTTTACTCTACAACTTTTTAGAGCCTTTCAAGATGCTAATAATATATTTTTAATTCCCCAGATGGATGTCTTTCCCAAATAATCTGACTGCAGAAACAATTTTCATGGGGCTTTTGGGAGAAGACTAATGTATTATGAAAGGCTGTTTAGGAATGTTTTTCTACAACATTCATAAAAGAATTTTCAAAAGTAACTATAATATCAGCCTTCCTAAGTGTCCAGTGACTATGACTGGGAAACAAATCACTCTTAAGCTTAGTGCCTTGAAACGATAATCATTTTACCATCCACCAGTGTTTCTGGGGCCAGAAATTTGGGAGTGGCTTGGTGGGACAGTTCGGACTCCAGGTCCTTTGTAAGGGTGCAGTCGGGTGGCAGTTGGGATTGCATCACCCAAAGGCATGCCATAGGAGGATTCCCCTTCAAGGAGACTCATTCACATGGCTGCCAAGGAGGTGACAGATGGGAGCCTTGTTCCTTCTTCAGGGGCCCAAAGCAAGCAGTCTCTGAGGCAGAAGCATCACTGCCTTTTATAACTGCCCAGAAGTCACACACTGCCATTTCTGCCCTACACCATGACAAGGCAGTTATAATGGTCCATTGAGGCTCAAGGGAAGGGAATACAGATGTCACATTTTCCTCTCAATGGAGCAGTAACAAAATTGATTTTCAAAATTGATTTTAATAAGACCATGTGGGATGGGATATGTCTGGATGCAACCATTTTTGGAAAATACATCTGCTCTCCTAAGTATCACAAATACACCAAGATATTATTATAAGGATATTCATCACAGCACTGCTTATAATAACAAAACAATGACTTAAAGGTTCAGCAAAAGTGCCAGGTTTACAGTGAGAAGATTCAGGGAAAGAGAAGACCCCATTTATAACAGCCAAAACAAAAGATAAAAAACTAACAACCACAACAAATGTTGCAGCATAAACTTAACAAGGAAACCCCAAAACCCATGTATGAAAAACTAAAAGACACTCCTAAAAGATACAAAAATGTCCTATGACAAATAGAAACAGATATCATGTTCTTAGATGGGAAAAAGAGCTATCATAAGGATGTCAGTTCTCGTGGAATTAAAGAAACAAAACAGATAAACATGGGGGGGTGGGAAAGAGAGGTGAAGCATAGAATAGAGTCTTAGCCACAAGAAACAAACTGAGAGTTGCTGGAGGGGAAGTGGGCAGGGGATGGACTAAATGGGTGATGGGTGTTGAGGACACGTGTGATGAGCACCAGGTGCTGTATGTAAGTGATGAATCACTCAATTCTACTCCTTAAAGTCCAGGACAAACCTAGATACAAGCTTCTAGTTGTCTTGTCCCAATGAATACTACAGACAGTACCTAATTCTCCAGCAACGAGAACCTGTTCACATACAGAGTACTGTCAACCTGGGAAGCTCACTGGAACCTTGGCATCCAGGGTTTTCATCGGAAGTCAGTCATGTAGCATGGAGCACCCAAGTGGTTGACCTTAGCTCAGTCTCCAGTTACCCCACAGGTCAAATCAAATGGTTTGGTCTAGGGCCCCCATCATAATCACACTGTTGGCATAAACTTGCCAGTGTGGCCCAGGATTCCAGTTCTACAAAAAACACTCTTTGTCAAGCAGGATATTCCCAGAGCTTGGAAGTTATCTCCAGGAACTGGCCCAGAGCCAGTTTCTTTGTAATGTGCAGAGTTGGGACATCCCACACGTGCTGGGTGAACCTTCTCCTGCACACCTTCTGGTCCTAGTCTGCTGAAAGTTTTTACTATGAAGGCTTCACGATAATTTTTGGGCGCGCTCTTATAAAGAAGCAACATTCTGCCAAGCATGCAAGGGCAGGAAGGGCATGGCAGGCACTGGGAAGCTGGGTGTGCGACCGCTGGGTTATAGGATGGTCCCTGTATGCTGGAGAATTATTTGCCTATTTTAATAAAGAATTATTTTATATTTCCACAAGTTGTGGATGAGAGTTCCAGCGGTGGCACACCCCCTTGACCCCAAACATCTGTTAGTTATCTTAGCCATTCTAATAAATGTGAGATGGTACCCTGTGTTTTTATTCATTTTGTTGTGAAACAATCACATGCGAAAAAATCTTAAGTACAATACAAAGAGCCCTTTCTCCTGAACCATCAGAAAGTAAGTTGCCAACCCAATGCCCTTTCACCTCTTGAGTATTTTAGGATTTCCTGAAAACAAGAGCATTCTTTGACACAACCAGAACACAACCATCAAAATCATGTTGATATACTACTTCCGGACTTTCCCTGGATCCCATTCTAATTGGACTAGTTGTCTCAATGACACCCTTTATAACAAAAAAATCCAGTTCAGAATCACATGGCACCTAGTTGTCATCTGTCTTCAGGCTCCTTTGGCTTAAACAGGTCTACAGTCTTTCCCTGAGTTTCATGACCTTGATACAGAATTGATATGCCAGTTATCCTATAAGATAGCCCCCAATTTGAGTTTTTGGGTTTGTCTGACCTCCCTTGAGGCTGGATGCAGGTTATGTATCTTCAGTATAAAAAGGGGATATTCTACTTACAGTCTTCTCTGTGCATCCTGTCAGGTTGTCCCTAATTTCACTTTGATCACTTGACTAAGGTGGTAGCTGCCAGGCTTCCTGATTGCAAAGTTACTTTCCTCTTTGTAATTATTAAGTTACGGTGGAGGGAGTGCTTTGATCTATGGAATTATCAATTTCAAACCTTCAATGACTCACTTCTACATTCCTCCATAGATGGACTCATGATTCCTATTTAGTGGATCATCATCTGCCACTATCATTTATTTGATGCTCAAATTGTCTCTAACCTGGCCAGTAGAAGCCCCTTCAAAGTGGCTTGTGTCCTTTTCCTATCATCCTCTGAGTTCTTCCTTGCTGTCTGCTCTGACAAAATGTTCCAGGCTCATTTTATACTTTCTGTGTCCCAACCCCAGACTTAGCTGTTTCCACAAGGAGCTCTGGTTCCCAGAAGCTGAAACCGCTATGGAGAAGCCAAGATCTGAATGCAAAGTAGGCTTATTGCTACTGGGGTATCACCGCTTCCAGGTCCATTTGCACACCTATACATACTACTCATTTCCAACTGTATTTATTTCTCTACCTATGCAAACTGCAACCCATGAGTTCACACCAGTATCTCTCCTTTGCAATCCAACACCACAGGGTTCATTCTAGCTTTTTCCTTTTCACTTCCCTGACGACTGTGAATCTTGGTTTGCATCATCCTTATATGTTTACTTATTTGACCAGTACCCCTATATAACCAACCTATCAACTCCACTGTCACTCTGACCCCCACATGGGTGTGCCCCTCTCCTTACTCAGGCTCTGACCTGCTCAGGGAAACGTTGGCCCCCCACAGCACTCATCCACCCTACTCTGCCCTACTCCAGGGCTGCAATACTCAATTGTTCAGGAAGAAGGGCTTAATTGACTTTTAAATAAAGGGCTCCTGTAATGTCTGTAATCCTTTGTGTCGAGAGTATGCTAATGTGCCAGTTTTCAATTTAAAATGAATAAAAGACTGCAATGCAGTAGACAGACGAAGTTGAGTTTTTTTTTTTTTAAGCGATAAAAACAGATCTCATTATAC